ACGACGCTTGATCGCTTTCCATAACTACACGTGACTCACTTTCAGCTTTGTTTATTCTCTACAATTTCATTTCTTGAAATTTAATTACTATTAATTTCAGTGGTCTCAACTCTATCGCAGTAACAATGTTGGATAAAGTAGTATCCGAGTTAAAGAGTAAACATATTTAACGAGCAGATCTTTATGATTAATTCAAAGTAATAATTGACTTGTATATAAACCAAAAATTGAATCAACTAACGTGTATATTAAACACTATTAATTCTCTGAATGAAAAGTTCTATGAGAGTGAATATATATTTTAAAGGTGACTTGTTGAATAAGTATAGATACTTTGATAGTTACGCCTTACAATTTCAGTTGGAAAGATATCCAACAATGCGTTCCATATAAAGCTAACCTTTGAAGTTACTAAATACTTCAAATAACTATATAAAATAAAAACACTGTTCGCTAACTTTTGACTGACTTGGTTGTTGTCACGTCAAATGAGCTGAACCATACAAATTACTGTGTAATCTATAAACAGAAAAATAAAGCTGAAAGCGTGTCAGTAACAGCTTTTTCGTTTCTAACGTTACCATAACATTACATTCGCAATCGACAGAAGGAACGCATTAACGTTGACTTGACATTAAGAAAAATGATAGATCGGTTGATCGCAAGATCTGTACAAAATAATAGAAAACAAATGAAAAAAGATTTGGAAATCAGGAGCAACGAATGACACTTATTGCGGCTAATGCTGCACTTTTGTTTAGTTTTTTTTCTCTGTTTACATTCATCAAGCTATCCGATTCGCACGCCTCACCGGCCCTTCTCGCCTTAATCGAGCCATACATAGAAAGTTATATACAACGATATAACATGAACTGCAGTGGCAGTGAATAGTGCATATGGATATTGCAAACAGTAGCAATGGCGGTGGCGGCGGCGACTCGTAATCGCGATACACGGCAGCGTCTACCACAGCTACTTGTGTTCTCTTGTCCCCGATAATATCGATCCGCTTCGTCCCATTTGCACATTTTCCGATAAGTTAGTCTGATTTCATAACGATCGAGCACAAAACCAATGTTCTCAGCGTATTTCGTATTGGTCGGATCACGCGATAACTTCATCCTGTATCTTTGCACTCCTCATACTTCCGCACGCGCGAATCGTTTCCCCTGGTTTCCTTCTCCGTTCTTCTTTCTTCTCACGTATTTTGTCGATGTAACATATCGTTTCGTTGGGTGTAATATTTCGTGTATGTGTTCGTGTGTGCAGTGGTGTGTTCAGGCGCGTGTGTGTGTGAGAAAGAAAGAGGATACACGCGTGTCCGCGTGTGTACGTTGTGTTTGTGAATCCATACCGTTGTGATTGTGTTGCCATATACATGCACTCGTACGTTTCGTATGTGTATCATTACGTGTGCGTGTTTCAGTCATGTTAGTGACAGAAAAGAGGGAGGGGCGGAGCGGGGGAAAGAGCAAGGAAGAAGTATTTGTGTATAGGTGTATCTGTGTATTTCCTCTTTATGTATGTATATCTTATTTGATCCGTTTTTACATACATACATATATATATACATATACATGCATACAGACATATATACATACATACATACGTGTATACGTATATGGATGTATGTACACATATGTACGTTCGTATGTACACACTCGTGAGTTTCACAAAAATATATAAAAGAGAGTGTCTATGTATACATATATATGTGCATATATACCTATAATGTATATATAGTCGTATCGATACATAGTCGATTAATACTCAAGTTGTGTGGAAAAGGGTGTTTTTATCGTAATTATTATATGTTCACACATATACATACACACATACATACATGCATACATATATACATACGTACATACATACGTGTATACGTATATACGTACATACATACGCACATACATACGCACATACATACATCCGACATGCATACACGTTTATGTATAGAATCTGTACAAAGTGCTTGATTGAGATTTTTATCGTTAGCCGCAAAAGAAGACACTCAAGGTAAAGTTTACATATAGTCCTGCACTCCTGTTCGAACCTATCTTGTAACGTTGCACGTATCGTTTGCAAACTGTTCGATCTAAAAGTAAGCATACAAGGTGATTTTTGCATCTATCACAGACTACAGCCTTTGGTTCACACAAGTATGAAACGAAAACGAGAGATTATATTATAATACAGATGGTCAATTATATCTCATGCTTCACAAGTTCATCTTCTTCTTAAGAAGTGTTGCGATGTGTATCTACAACATTCACTTATATCTGTTTTATTAAATGCAAATAGAAAATGTAGTGTATTCGTAGCAATTGTTTCTATCATTTTACACGTAAAAATGTTGCAGTAATGGAATTAGAAAATGAACATTTTATAAATTCAATTAATACAAATAACTTGACAAAGAGTATGCATAAACGTGCTAAATATGTCATTTTTCTGATGCAAATTCAATACAGTTCAATACAGAAGAATGTGCCATATACGCTATTTATTTCAATATTTTTGTTCATAAACCAAAAAGATAATAGTTTAATGTAGAAGACATAGATGCAAGTGTAGGAAAATATGTAATTGTAAGAAAAGTGAAATCAGAGATTGGATTTTGTTAAGTTATATTACACTTTCTACCATTGTACTCCCTGATATTCTAAATAGAAGCTGCAGTCTGTTGTAGTTGCAAGGATCACCCTGTATATACGCATATACAGATACATGTACATATATGTATACATATTTCCATTTGCTGACAAGGCAAGATACAAAATTACGATACAGGAGACGAACACACGACTGTCTTGCAAAGTGAACAATGCATTTACATGAAAGAACCAAAAAGGTCCTGTCAGTGCAATTTATCTCAATCAATTTTCATATCTCCTATTTCTTCCTCTTTCCTCCTCGTTCCGCTTTTGTTTATAATTTACCGTCAAATGACAACATATTCACCTGTTCTGTACCTATTTACATATCCTGAATGAGCTACAGCGATGGTATACGTTAAGTCGCGAAGGCGATTACAATTCCTCAGCGATCAGCCTTGAAGATGTTCTCAAGCGTTTATAGTTAAGCTGTTTGCTTCGCATTGTTTTAAGTATATTTTTTTTCTGTTTTCTTCTGTACTCTGTATTCTGCTGAAAGCATAAGGCATGGGATATAGTCACACACCATTTTACGCCTCAGAATAAGCCCTTTCAGTCCTTATGTCGCCTTCCAATCGAAGACGTTATATTTCATGTCTTACGAAGATTTAGAAAGCTTAACGTGTAGCTACCCTCGGACCGTGTTTCATCATACCGCATCCCGGTATCCCTTTGCCGTTTCTTCTCTTTCTCATTTTCCTTGGCAGATTTTTCTTTTCTTCTTCTCTTTTCTCCATATTCGCCACGATGTTTTTCCTTCTTCTACTTGTTACATAAACACGCCTCAACGCAGAAATGTTCGGTCACAATGTGGAAATAAATCACGTAGCGATAAATAGCAAGGAACAGAGAGATCTGCGGGCACTATAGAGGGAAACCGAATCAGCTACGAGTATTGACGAAATATCACTGGCGACACGTAACCAGCAGAAAAAACGGACGTGTTGATGATTCGTTCTATGGACGGGGTTTGCGATAATTCGTTGAGGGCATCATACCATAATGCCAGCCAATGAAGATTAGTCGATTCAGTAGGGACGACGGGCGGCATGATGGTTTCCTTTGCCTGCTTAGATATAGGAATAAGGTCCGTCGGTGAGGGCGCTACACAGCAACAGTCAGGAGGCATCATCCTTTCCCCGAGCCCCTCTGCTCGGCTTGTATTCCAGACCTGGATCGAATTGCATCAGCACGAAAACCTTTGGGGTAGAAAAATGAAAATATTATTATCACATCGTGCAAAGTAAATACAAAATTGTCAAAAGTAAATACATAAATTCACGAATAAACATTTTCTCGTGTAATTCATAATTATGAATAATATCTGCATTAACACTTACAATAGCAAAACAAATATCTAAATATGCGAATAAAATTTTAGGGATTTGATAGTAATAATGCCTATTGCTATATTTACAAGTTATAAATGACATAACAGTTAAAGATACTACTAATACTATTTTGTAGGTTATGTTTTATGTACTATAACCTATACTACTAATACTAATTTGTAGGTTATGTTTTATGTAATATAACCTACACTACTAAAGTTGATATCAATAATACCCTCATACCTGATCTGTAGGCAATAACGTGAAATCATCTGGAGGATTTGTAATGACATATCGTTTAGAAGAAGCATCGCACGATGAACTGGTATCTCGAAACCTAAAATTGTATCAAGTATTAGCGGTATATAATGTTTATGGTGGACGAAACTTACGGTCTATGCTAAATACACATATGTACGATTGAACTAAACTATAAACTAACTAAACTAAACTAAACTAAACGCTGGCAACAGTAACTAAACACTAAACAAATAAGTGATACAAAGACAATCATAAAAAATGATGGGTATTTGTTGGATGAAGGCAACTTACGATCGTCGTTTCTTTTTCATGACGCAAAAACGCAAAATGCAAAAGTATGCGGCAAAAAATCAAAAGTCACATAGTAAGTACAAGAATGGTATAGTAAGAGATAATCAATGGCAGTATAATCGCAGCAGCAAAGATGACAGATTTTCATAGAAAATATATGCGTAAAATATTCGTGTAGAGTAATCCAATAAATACCATCGAGAGAAGGAAAAAAGTCCGGTACCTGTACCTGTACAGACCAATGCACAGCATTCCATATGACTTTAATGCTGCGACAAAGAGGTCACCGTACTTGCCTCCTTCACCATATTGGGCCAATGGCCCATCGTATAATGCGATTTGACCAACTCGACATCGATCTCTATTGGCCAGACTGTCAGGTGTACTACAAATAAAAAGGTATAAATTAAAAAATACAAATAACGACTTTTTGAATATTTTTCTGGAAAGCATCAGTAGCTATCGTGCCCTCTAATGGTGCACTTTAGATATATATTTTTATTGACATATGAAAAGTATATGAAAGGTATATATAATTTACCTATAACCTCCTCGTAAACCTGCTCCCTCAGCAAGAATTAATTCTAATTCAGGCGTTGCTCCACCAGTGATTAGAGATCGAATTAAAGTCAGCGCATTTTGGTTAAAATACGTCTGTTACAAAAAGAGAAACAAGTAAGAAATTAATACAATAATATAAATATACGAGGTTCAACCTTGTCCCAAGTGCGATAAAACAGACAATTGTCCAGTTTAGTCCTAGGTCCAAATGCCAGGTTCAATGTCCTGGAATAATTAACCTAATTGTCCAAGAATAACTGAGACTCATTGACTATTGCCCAGATAAAAATCGCACGATAATGTTATTATGAAAGTTACTTGATAAAAGACATGTTTTGATAAAGAAATAATATACTTAACACTTTACCGACCGGAAGCCTATTAATCGGCTTTTGGTCGCCGATGTTTACCGACCGAGAGCCTATTAATCGGCTTTGGGGTACGTTGCTCAGTTGCGTTAGTTGCGTTGCTTTGTAAGCTCCCACATTGTTGCGGCCCTAGGACTGCAATGTCCCAGGTCAAGTGGAGGACTGTTTTATGTCCTTAGTGTCTGTTTTTTTTTTTACAAATTTATCTGAGCATACGAAACACACAGATACTCCCGTGCGACAGTCTAAACCAAAACAGAGCCGGCGCCAGGGAGAATCTGCGGCTCAGCGGCCGGTTGGACGTACGTATGCCATTGAAGCGCTAGCGGTCGGTAAAGTGTTAAGATACATCAAAATACTGTGCACACGCTCTGTATGAATCGAATTGGAAATATCATGAAATAATCAGAGGCTCGCATAAATTTTATGGAAATAGAAAGGCTGGATTTTAAGGCAGATTACAATACGTTTGTTGCTATTAAACAAAAAAGGTCTTCTCCTGATCATAAAGTAATTGAAAACATATGCGAGATATCGAATAATGAGGATTCTCAGAAATGACAGATGGTCAGACCTGCGTTATAAAGTTCAAGATAGGCCACTATTAGATATGAACAAGACAATAGATTGTCACTGACCGTCGACATTAACGAATCTAATACGCTGACGGCAAAGGCAGTACCACAAGCAAACGGTTGGGTTAGGTACAGTTCTGTATCTGGATCATCGTCGTCGTCCTGGTCAAGGAACTGCACGTTGCTATCGTTCACGAGTTCTATAACAGACGAATCCATCAGGCGTATCGACATTCTTGGTGAAGAGACTAATTAATAAGTAATCAATGAACAAGTCACGTGTATACCTGTTATCATGGGTACGTTTGCACCATAAACGGATCCCCGTCGCTGCAGAACAATTGGGCTGCCAACTGCGGTCAAATTACCTTGCTCATTATTTGCTGGAATCGTCACTTGACATTTAATTACGTGTGCACGATGAAACGCGGGGAGTGGTTGAATAGGAATGCTAACACCCAAGATCGTGTCATGGGTAATACGTACCTTGGCTGAGCACTCCAATGGTATCGTCGAAAGTCATGGCTTTGATATTAAGGGACGCGAGGATGGCTTCCTTGTCGGCGAGGGTGGGGTCATCGTTGCTAGGCACTTTAGCCGACAGGATACAACACATGTCGCACAAATTCACGTTAACGGCACGCAGATCTGCTCTGCTCAATGGTGAACCCTGAGAACATAGATACAATCCCATTACACGTGTTTATCTTTAGTAATAATATGACATTTTTATATGAGCCGTTCACTGCACAAATTGATTAACTCCATCAAACAAAAAGTGGAGAAATGCAATGAAATAATGTATACTGTTTTTTAAAATTCCCTTTATAATTTAAATCGAAAGAAATATGGTAGAATGCATAAATAGAAATGTAACTTTCATCTAACGGTATATAAAATTTATAAGAAAAAATAGCCAAAAGGTAATCGTTAGTGATGTTATCATTTTTATGTTACTGGAAGAGTTAATCGATTTGGCAAGTGAAAAAAGTAATAAATTTAAATTTTACTAAATTTTACTTAAATTCTGATAAGACGGCACTAAAAAATTCACAGTTATCATTCATGGCTTGCTAGTGCATTTGAGTTGCATTATTGCAAAGATTTACATTAGAGTACGGAGTTAATCAAAGTGACCTCTGAAATAAATTATTTATTATCCAGTGGCCAACAAATTTTTGTCGTTTAATGGTGTTAATCTTTATTATAAGGGAAGGTTATTATAAATATAAAGAGTTATGACTATACCAAGTGCTTTGTCACTTAAATTTAAGATTTTTCAAAAAGTGGAGTTCATCGATTTGTGCAGTGAACGGCTCATGTAGATACCCGCTGAGAAGAGGTCGCCACAGTCGACTGGTTAAAGTAAACTTTTATCAAAATATTACAAAGAATTATAAAGAATTACAAATTTTAATTTATATAAATGCTTTTCCTAGAATTAGGTTAAATGCATAGTATCAAATACTAAACAAATATTTGAAAATATTATGAAGGTTGTATATTTTAGTATAAATTGAGATTTTTAAAGCAAATTGATCATGTTGGAGTTCAAGAGATTATTATATATAACCTTTATAATTTAGAGATATTAGAATAAAGTGATGATTTCTCAACTCAAGTTTATCAGACTTCAAGAGGTCCCAAGTTTATGGTCGAAGCTTTAGAAAATCCTAGGTGTGTACCATATGTCGATTTCTCAGGTAACCGTTATTATTCAGTGGACCTGAATGACATGGCTCACAACTTTCAGTGTTTCTCAAATAACTTCAAAATGAATCTTGGCAAAAGAGAAAGAACTATCTGATTATGAATTAAATTTGATTTCACCAGTTTATTATGTAAAAAAATATTATTCATTTCGTGGCATATTTAGTCTCATTTTAAGCACAAAACTGTCACAAATATGTCAACAAAAGGTATTCAGAAAAAAAGAGAAAAATAAAAATTGTTTCTAATTTTAAACTTAAAATTTAACGTGAATCAATTTGCAGCTACTGATTTTATTGCTTTGTTATTAAATATAATTCTTACTTATCGACGAAATAAGTGGAAAATATTTCTTACGTTTAACACCGATATCTTCGGTAGATTCTGCAACATCTTCCACTCGCGGCGGATGTAATCCACAGACCCAACTATTACTACGTGTTTAAGCTCGTGGTAATGAAAATTGGAAGCTCGTAATGGCATGACAAGGTTTCTCAGTCCGATGAGAGGCGAGTCGGGATCAGCGAATAGGCAAACAACGACATGCCCATTGAGAACTGTCATCGCCGCCTGATTACGATCCAATATGCAGTCTTCGAGGTTACGGGATGGACTCCAGTGGAACATACCCGTTGAGTCGTACTTCATTTCGGTCTTCTCGAAATCGAAGTCTTTCGCCTGATCGTCGGCAATACCGACTTGAAGACCACCATTGTTGTTCACGTTCGTGCCGCCAGAGGCTCTGCTCGTCGGCCTAGAAAGCGAATACCACTTTTACTAGATAGCAATCGTCGCCAGTGTTTACACCGTAATATCGTTACTCGATTAAACATAAAATACTAGTACATTAGAATACGCGTAAGAATACGCAATACAATCTTTCATGACTAATTTCTCATGTTTTCCAATAGCTTTATTCTAAACTAATCCTGGAATGCCCAAGCGGATGAAGACTAACGAAAACTTAGCTAGTTTAAACAAGCAAGATACTGGGTTGGCCAAAAAGTTTTCTCGTCATTTTTATGATAATTTTGAGAAAAGTTTTGTATACGGATATTAACAAATTTTAATTTAACGTTGATAATGTTTAAATTAAAATTACCTAGGTTTTTGTTTTTAAATAACCTGATATTATTTGATACAGATTTCTTTTTTCTTATAAATTTATATTTATATTATAATACCAAAAAATTAATCACAATACGTATTGAAGAAAAAACGAAAAAATTTGTTTAGCCAAACCACTAGATATAGGATACTATCATTTCTGATACTGTTGTTCTTGTAATTATTACGATATCCTATGTTACAACTAAATCAATTTTCGTATGATAGTATTCAAAATCCGCTTAGAGAATCATGCGTTGCGTAATAGGATATTAATTACAATATTAATTACAATATTTTTACATTAAGTAAAAATATTCATTTAACTGAACAATTAAGAACATCCAACCTTCCGGTATACACTGTATTAATCTGTAAATAATAAGTGATATGAGCTGTGTTAATTCCACTACAATTTTTGTAAATGAAGAGCTTTTCAGATCTATGGATTAATGAATATGAATGGATAAATTTTGGAATGTTAGTTTAAAGAGATATAGAAATAGTTTAAATAAATAAATAAAGGATGTTAAAAGGGAACATTTTTGACATCGTCTGAAAATGAAAAATTCCTTCGGGACCTTTAAGAGCGTCTTTCGAGAAATAAAGAATTCCTTTATCACATTACCAAGATGATAGGAAAGTTGTCAAAAATTAATCGAAATATGTGAAAATGGGACTGATCTAGCACACCCAAGTATAATGTTTCGTCGTCTTCCTATTCAGATACAGAATCACCTTCGAAATAATTAGCGAGGGTCTCAGCTGGCAAATGAATCGAAGGGTGGAGTCAAGCAAAACCAAAATACCATATTGTAAGAAAACCACCGACAATCGGGTTCATGCGGTCGCCAACCGACAGATGGCGACAGCTTTGTGCTCACAGTGGCTCTCGATCGTTATGAGACGATTATTTCTCAGCAAAGCGATAAAGGAATCTTTCGTTCCTTGAAAGATCCTCTAAGGGTCCTGAAAGAATTTTTCATTTCCGGACAATGTCAAAAATGGCCCCTTTTTAACATTCTCCTTTCTAAATAATTAATGTAAATTAATTAACGTTATTAATAACATTATCAAAATCGGCAAATTTAATTTAAAGAAAAGGAACGTGATTAAAGTACAACATATGATTTTTTGAAGAGAAAGTATTACGGAAATGAAAGAGAAAAATGATCTTGCGCCAAATATTTGCAAATTTCTAATTATCCAGCCGTGCAGATTTATTTATAAAAGCTATAATGGCAGATATTTTTTATAGTTGTTGATACCTGTTCGTAAGTTCATATATAACAAACCTTTTTCAAGATGGTTTCCACTATTCGTTAAAGAACGAAGAACTACATAAAAGGGTTATTGAAAAAAAAAATGTCAATTGAAATAGTTAATCCTGCATTAATTCTACATTTTCATTACTATTTTAGTAAATAGTGCACATTTTTTGGTTATTTTTAACAGAAGCGCTTAGGTTATGTTAGTAATTGAAGATATTCTGCAATAGATGCACTAAGCATATGCACTATTAGCATTTTTTACAAAGCCAAATTTGCCATATCGAAGAATTAATTCGTAAAAGGTGAATTTATCATTTAACAAAAACCTTTTCGTAAGAAAATATCGATTTAAAGAAAAATTTTCAAGTATGTTCGGAATTATGCTCAGAATACTTCGTGATGCTAAAAGAATGAAATTAATAAATTGCGATTAAAAATTAATATCTCTTTCAAAACCAAAGATATTTCAATCTATACACAATACATGCATATATGTACAAGTTTATTATATAATATCTAAAATTTTCAATAATTATACAGTATAAACGGAAATCATCGACAAATTTTAAAAAACTTTTCTGTGATCTTTTTTTAATCACATAAATCAATTATAAAGCTGCACATTTTGTAAAACTAAGTATAGTTTGCTGAAATTATTAAAATTTCATATTAACTACAAATTCATAATGCCATGTGCAAAAGCAATTTAAAATATCACAAGTATCGAAAGTTTGACTTGTCTCAAATCTATTTTATATTGTTACATAACTATTCTATTGTTAAATTCTACAAAGTCTGTTGATGTCTACTTTTTAATTCAATACATAAATTACAAAAATTACAAAAATTACAAATTATTTAATAAATGTAGATGGAAGCCTATATATTTTACGTTGCTAAACAAAAAAATACGAAGATTTTAATTCTCTTACTCACTTTTCTTATATTTTGGGGAGTTATGTTCAAGTACCTTTCTTATGGGCTTATAAACATTAATGAGTTTTATACAGCATATCGAAATACCATTTACTTAGTGATATTTGATGAACAACCATTAGAAAGAAAGAGGAAGATAACAGTAAGTACAATACAAATTATTAGAAGCAAACGATGTAAACAGCGTCACCTATTAAAAGCTATTATAACCACCTTATGGAAACACGATGAACAGAACCCATTTATTATCAAAAATTATAGAGTAATTTAATAGACATTTTATAGACAAGAAATAAAAATGCAAAATAACAACAAAAATATAGTAAAAAAGAAGCCTGATATAAGTTTTTTGCCAAAACATTTAGTTATAAATTAATTTTTTATATGAGGGAAGCAAATAAAGAAGAAAAATATTATATACTGATATAAACGATGATAAACAATTTAATTATACAAGCAATTAACGAAATATTGTGAAACATAAACATTCACATGCAGTTTGCAAGCAGAATCTTATGTCGCAAATGTATCCAACCAAGCATATGTATATAGCGTAGAAGAGAGAACAGCGGCTTAACGTGACAGTTAACGTAACAAAAGAAGCGTACATGAGCTTTTTGACTTCGTAGGCGAGATGGTAGCCAGGGTATGCGGACTCCTCTTGCGATCTGGAATCAGAAGGTATTTGTAACGTTGGATTCGTCGATTTGTAGACGCTCTTTTCTTCATTCGCCATCGAATAACGTTGAAATGTAATGTGATAGACAAAAATAAAAAGTTTAATTTCTAAGCGGTGATGATAGTGATGATTCTTGTAATTGGATGTAAAATTTCGGAACTTTTAGTGTTTGACATTTCTCATTGTAAAACATAGGTTAAGATAGGCTAAATCATTTCTTGATTGGTAATCTTTTTTTTACAAAATGTAAAGACTAAAATTATGTACAGTTTCCTACAAGAAGGTATCTGCTTTTCTAATAGAATGGAAAAAGGCAATTCACAGTTTATACTGCTTTTTGGAGAATAAACTTGTTTATATAAATGAAATCAATGTAATAAACTTGGAGCAGCAATAGTTTATTCAAAATAATTTGTTCTACGATAAGTAATAAAAGAAATTCCACCAAGTATAAAATATTAGTATTACATTCAGAATTTTAAATAATGATTGGTACAACAAATTTGTTACAAATAATCAAACTGATATCAATATGAAAGAAAATAATTTACAATTTATATTGTTTCTTGAAGAATAAAATTGCCTATATGAATTAAATAAATAACAGATTGAGTGTGAAGGTAATTTATAACAATATATAGAAAAATAAATACTAAAAGGAATTACGCTAAGTTTTAAACCTATATTATCATTGTCTCCTAATTCTAAATAGTGATTGGAACAATATCTTTATTGCAGACAACCTAATTTGATTACTACTGGTATGAGAATAGGCAATTTACAAATATACTGCTTTTCAGAGGACAAAGCTGCTCATATGAATTAAATGGGTATGATAATTTGGATATAATAGCAGCCTATTTAAAATAATTTGCTGAAAAATAAATAATTCTAAACAGTCATTGGTACATAGGTTTGCTGCAGACAAGCAGTTTTATTGCAAAAGCATTTTTCAAATTTCAGCAGTATACAAAATTATAAAAGGAAGCACAGATGAGCGACTTATTTATAATAGGTGGAAGCTAACCTTCAAATATTGTGTAAGGAAGGGAAGCAGAAAAAAATATAATTTGATGGATTGCTACTAACCTATTAACATGCGATATATACAAAATATCCCACAATAGATGGGATTTGTTTTAGGAATTGATTTAGCACTTAAAAATAATGCAAAAAATTTACAGGAACATATTTTCTTTATCAAATGTAATAAATTTTGGGTATGGTTATTTTAGTACCTAATTATATTTATATTTAAAACCATATTAATTACGTATAATTAATATTAATAACAGTGAAATGAACTGTATTTTATAGACTAAAGTAAATAATACATGGAAAAAACTTGTTAATACTAAATAAACTGCAGAAATTTGCAAGTTCTCCAGCTTTAGTATACAGCATATATCAATTCAAATATATTACTTAATAAATAAAATAAATTTTATTACATTAATGTTTATTCTGTAGATAAATTAAAAGAAGTAATTAAAAAAGATTATCCATACATTTTAAAGAAATTTACTAAACCCTTGTAGAAGTTTTTAATTATTAGTTTAACATTTTACCATTCTAATATATTTAATCAATCCTTACATTTGGTATCTTATTATTGAGTTATATGTCTTCAACATAAATAGAATAAATTGAAAAAGAAAGTGATATAAATTATAGGCAATCTTCTCTGCATTTGTAACAGATACAGATACCTTCTAAACAGAAAACTATACAACACCGTATGTTTGTATATCATTGATCGTTACATTTCAAAAAATTATAGCTTAGATTTATTCCTTGTATAATTTTTGTGTATTCATCATATGAAAGATATAACTGTATGCTTCAGTTGTCAGAAAACTCGAGTTATACATCTATTACAAGATTTGATTTTGTGTATTGTAGTCATTGAACAAATTTCTAGATGTATACATATATGAAATTGGGTCCATTCAAGCATCTTTTCCTCAATATTTCAATATTTTAAGACTTTTATTACAATTTGCTTTTAATATTTATTTTTTTTTATACTTTTTACTTACTCTTTCTCCTATATTCAAAATTAAAATATAATTTAGTAGCCTGATAATAATCCAATTTTTCTAAAAAATGCATTTTTACTTCAACCTTTAGAACAAAGTATTTACTAAATTTAAAATATTATAAATTCAGTGAAATTCAAAGTGTACACTTATGTATGTACACAAAGTACTTTATATAATTGGGTAAAATTAATAGATGATTTATTTAGATAGTTAAAATAATTTAGGTGATTAAAAACAAAAACAAAATTTCAGAAGGCAAAATTAATTTTTCTTACACGAGACGTTAACAAAAACATTAAAAATCGTTTGCTTAAAAACTGTTTTTATTCGCGTGAGCATTAATATCTTAGAAACATGTTTTACTTTACTTTCTTATTTCTGTTTGCTAATAAAACAAATTTTTAGTTCAGTTTCATGTCACGCGAAGTTTCAAATCTTTGATCTCTAAATTGATCTCTAAAGAAAATCTGACCTCTTAACATAAATGTTAAGGTCACAACATAATTATATTGATTTATTTAAAGTTTTATGCGAGCATAATGCAGCACATGTAGTACTTCATTAACGAGATTAAAATAATCTTGGGAGAAAATTAGCTTTCCTATTAAAAGAAAAATATTAAAAAAAAATGTTGGCAACTCACTAAAGCAATTAATGAGTATTTGTTATAAACTCTTTAAAAAATGCCTTAATATATTTGCATCTCTTACAATTTCTCACTTTATTCAAATATAATTATTTCGTTCAGAATTCATTGAACAAATGCATATCCAATTATTATTTCTGCTGACTGTGTTATTTGTAAACAATAGATTAACACGATATTTATAACAAATCAATTTTTTTTTTAGTTAAACTCACGAATTAAATTAATTTATGTACATTAAAATGATATTTATGGTAAATTGAGTATCCCTATAGTTAAATTAATATTTCTTTTCTGAAATATAAAGTATTTCTTTTCTGAAATATAAAGTATTTCTTTACGAATTAACATTTCTTTTATGTGCCATTAAGAAACTCATTATGATATTGATTCAACATCGTATCGATTGATGCAAGTTCCGAAAGTATTCGAAATTTACAGGAATATTAAATATTTATAAGAATTTTAATAAGACGAAGGATTATTAAAATTGAAAAGGATTATTAATCAATAAATGGAATTTGTTACACAGAATGTAACTGGTCTACCAGATGCTATGATAATGATTCTGGATCGCATGGAAGTTCTCTACCGAGAATAATAGTAAGTTAAAATTCAAGTCGTACAATATTTACCATTATTTATGCTCGATAACTTTAAAAAGACATGCTAATTAAAGGAAAATAGATGCAAATATTGTTCAAAAAACATTGTGTTATACATCGTGGTGCACTCTGTAAAGACAATAAATTATATAATCGAAATTTGTTCATTAAAGAGGTGTTCTTGTATCTTGTGAGGTAAATCGTTTCAAATAATTGTTTTGAAGCTTTATCAGGTTATTCAAAGTATGCGTTAAAATAATTTCACTGCAATATCGAAAAATTTATAATTCTTTTAGAAATCTACAATAAATATTATTAATTTTCACACAGTATAGATATTACAAATAATAATAATAAAAAATAAAAAATTAAGAATTAAATTAAAAGTTGTACAGGGTGAGACCTTTTCACATCCTGTCATTTACGACAAAATAATTTTTATTGCTTCTGCAATAATTAAATAATTGAAGAAAAACGAGGTGGTCACGTTGCATGGTCCACTCTGTATGTAACTACATGTAATTTGAATAACCTGTTGTATACAGCTTACAAAAATATCGTGTACAGTAAAGCTCGAGTCGTTCTAATCGTGCAGATATAGAAGAGACACAGAATCAACTGTAAGTTCGTACAACAGCGAAAGTGCGAAGTTGCAGACAGAAAGATCGAAAAATTTACCACGAGCTGCCATGTAACCGTGTGTATATATTTATAATAGCTGAATAGGTCGAATCGTGTAGATAATTATGCTTGGAGTAATCACACATAGTCGAACTTCGAATGATCGAAAAAGTGTTTTGGAAACGTGACATAAGCTACTCGGCACGGTTCAATTTTGCAGTGAAGTCAATGGTTGCACGAAGCAACATCAACTTTTGTTTTCATTCTAGTTGGTGATATTGCGTGTAATTAATTCTCAGTAGTGAAATTCACACGCGGTTATTGAGTGTGTAACGAGATATTTATCGTAAGTGATCGAAAATGCGAAGAATGAGTGAATGCAAGGACGATGCACGTCCAGGTCGTGTACGTTAAAGGTAGAGGTTAGGTCTAAAGTAAAACGAATACCTTTGATTGTACGGTTGATTTGGACTGGATAAACTGTCATTTGTCGCTCGATTCACATTCGGTTTCACCTTATTCACCTGCTTCGTTGAATTCATCATGGTCATCCCGACGGAATTCCGGTGATTTCTCATTGCTGTAACATAACGTAATGGTATAAAATAATAGATGTTGGAGCAAATCTAGTTTCAGGGCTATTTTTATGAAAAGCTCTTAGTTTTATCAATGATATGTTGGTCTAAAATTATTATTATTTTATATGTGTACATATATGAGGTTTCTCATATTTTTAAAATATTTTTTAAATTACAATAAAATTTTAAAATATAATAAAATTTATAAATATTGTATACACATGTTGTAAAATTATAAATTATATATA